GTGTGTGTGTGTGTGTGTGTGTGTGTGTGTGTGTGTGTGTGTGTGTGTGTTTAAGCCAGTAGTTCAAACAGACACAGAGTTTCTATGTCCCTGAAGTTTTTCAGTTTAATTGTTTCTATGACATCTGAATTGTATCTAAGTATGAATCAAGTACCCATAGCTGGTGTGACCAGTGAGCGTGTGTGGATTTCGACCTTGGACAGGAGCTGAGGCTGCAGTAGGGCTGGGGGTGACAGAGGAGTTGCGGCTGGAGCGGGCGGGCGGTCCCGGGGGCGATCGGAGCCGGGGCTGCGGATCACTAGCTTGGCTGGTGGGGGACTGGCAGGAACCGGAGCAGCACTGCCGCCTCTGGCGCGAAGGCTCTGGCGCCTCCTCCCGCCGCATCACTGTGGCTCTGTGCGCGCTGCCGGCCGCTGCTCTCTCCAGCCTCTGAAGAAGAAAGCCCCTGAGCCACTGTCGCTTGAACCATGGCTTCGGGCCGAAGGGGTTGGGACAGCTCCCACGAGGACGACCTGCCTGTGTACTTGGCCCGGCCGGGCACCACAGATCAGGTCCCACGGCAGAAGTACGGTGGCATGTTCTGCAACGTGGAGGGCGCCTTCGAGAGCAAGACGTTGGATTTCGATGCCTTGAGTGTGGGACAGCGCGGCGCCAAGACTCCCCGGAGCAGTCAGGGCAGCGGCCGCGGCGCGGGGAACCGGCCCGGGGTGGAAGGGGACGCGCGCAGGGGTCTGGGCCGGGAGGAGAGCAGGGAGCCCGCGCCTGAGTCGCCCAAGCCCGCCGGGGTAGAGATCCGGAGCGCCACCGGCAAGGAAGTCTTGCAGAACCTCGGTCCCAAGGACAAGGTAAGAGAGCCTGGGGTCTTCTCCCAGCTGGCACTGGCCCACTTCTCAGCCTCAGCCGCCATAGCCTGGGTACAACTTTCTTGCTCACACTTTACAAGAGGATGAGCGGCTAGGCTGAGAAAAAGGGCATCCTCCACGGGCCCAGGGATCCCACGTGTCCCCAATTGTAGCACCTTCCAGTGTGTACTGGAAGGATCTCAGGTCTGGGTCGTTATCCCAGTCACCCACCTGCACCCTGGCCTGTTAGTTCTGGGTGGGTGTGTCAACCCTGGTCTGGGAAGGCTTAGCGATTCCCAGACTTCCTTTACTTCTGAAGAGCCAACAGCACAATTGTCTTGGTTCCCCTTAGCTCCGGATTAAAACTTAATCGAGGTCACCAGGGCAGAGGACAGACTGATGCTAAGAAAATGGGATGACTCTGTGACTTTTCTGAAACTTTTGGGTGTGGGGCCACTAAACATTAGAATCTCCGTGCCTCACTTCTGTCGTAGCATGACGCTTCACATCTGTGTTTATTAAGAGTATATTTGTGTACATAGCTTGGCACGAGTCTGGGTCTCAAGGGATCCAGCTGTCTCTGTAAAAAAATTACATATTTGAAAATAGACAGGGGTATTAAAGTGCATATTAAACTAGCATAAGCTGCCAGCCCTCCACTGCTCTTACATGTATCAAAGCTATTTTTTTTTCTACGTGTGTTTTAGAGAAACTGACGCCGGACTGAACTGCCCGAGTTTACTACGATGATTTATGTGTTTATCTCATAAAAAAAAAAAAGTCAGAGGCATGATTTAGAAAATTCAGAGTAGGTGCAGATCTGGAGAAGTCAAAGTTCAACTCCTAGGGTTTGAGTTGGGGAACAGTAGTAATCAGATGACCTCACCTTGGTCTAGGCAATGGCTGTACAGTCCATCCCCCGTGTATTATTCCTCCCTAATGCCATCATGAATAATATCCTGCAATGGAAATGTCTGCTTCACCGTGATTACAGTTAATACTCATCCTGCTTTGAGCTGTTTTTCCATTAAGATGCAATGAGGTAGTGAAAGGACAGCTTATCTCTCCCTGGCTCAATTTTTGATTTTTTTTTAAACTTTTAAGTTTTGTTTCTAACCAGGACAGTCTTGTGTAGAGGGATCCTTTGTAAGACAATGTCAGTATGCCTAGGAATTACCCATCTGCTTCATGATATTCACATCTTGTCTGAGTATGAGACTCCTGGAGGCCCACTAGCCCTTCTAGGAAACGCTTTTGGTGTATAAGAAAGCTTTTGGCAGATTCTCAACAGAAGACTAGCCCTCTACAGAAAGCTAATTGCTCCTCTACATGTCTAACTTCATGACTCTTAAAATGTTCCTTTCCTGGCATAAAGGGGAAAGGAGGGAGTGGAAAAGGCCAGAAACAATTGCTGTGAGTCAGTCTATTCCCCTCGCTGGAACACCCCTGATGTAAGCCAGATAATATGCTTGGTTTGCAAGATTGGAGCATGGTAACTAGAGAAAGGGAAAATGGTCTTCCTGTAAACCCAACAATTCTCTCATTTTTGTTCCCTTTTACAAACTCTATACTTTTTGGCTCTTAATTGAAAAATAATAATACGACTTAGACATCAGCAGGGTTTCTAGAGCTACATGGGTTTTTAAGTTCAGGCTTGCTGTCTGCTTCTTGCAGGCCATGTTATTATCTCTAATTTTCTTTAATTACACTGTTTTTTTAAAAAAAAACCCACACATATACACAGGGGTTATCTAGTTCTGTATTTATGGTTATTCCCTTGAGGCTAAGGACTGTGTGTTTGGGTTTATCTCTGGGCCTGGGATGCCTGGCACACTGGAGGTGTTTCAGACATGTTCGATATTAAAATTCCTTATTTGAAACATATGTTTTGCTAGACTGGTGCAAAACAGCATCTGCACTGGTCTAAATATCTGCTGTCTACTACTCACTACCTCATGAAGCAAGTTTTGGACATCTTAGATTGGAAAGCTAACAAATTTGCCTACCTTAGTATCTGCAGTTTATCCCTAGGAAAATAAGCATTTCCCTATTCAGAGACATTTAAAAAGATTTTAGGTATATGGGTTTGGCTCTCATGTCTATCTACAAACAAAATTGGATAACAGCATGGTAAGAAGACCTAAGCTTCCATGGTTTAACAAAACTATAACAACCACTTTCTGGCACTTGCCAGTTGTCTACAGGGTCACAAGGGAAGTTCTGTTCATCATTGTCCTTCAGGGACCATTTCTCACATGAGCAATGGGAGCTATCTAACTAGCAAGCTGCACACAGACACAGCAACTTTCTTGAAGAAGTAATGAACAAGATGGAAGCTTACTTTTCATTGGTTAAAGCAAACACATGACTTCAGAGGGACTAGAGGAATACATGCTTATCACTATCCTGTAAGGCTGGGAATAACTTTTAAACAATTCTAGTATCTTCCAAAAAGTTAGGGATGGACTAATGGGGGGAAAGGTTGACTTCATCTCTTGACCAAATATATAACTGAGGCTTGTAACCAAGATTCCTTGGGCTCTAGGTCTAGGTTTATCATCTACAAAATGATAATTAAACTGACTACTTTGTTTATAATTAGAATTTGGCATATATTATTATATTACTATTCAACTTCATTTATCTTTATATGTTTGTAGGCAATCTGTGTGTGTGTATACACCTCCTCCCCCCCACACACGTGCTCTCTCTATCTTTTTCTGTCTCTTTTTCTACCTCTGAAGGTTTTCTCTGAGGTCTTGTTGTATAGCTCAGGGTAGGTAGGAACTCATTTTGTAGTCGAAGTCCTTAAACTTGTGATGACCTTCCTGCCTCTGCCTACTGAGTGCTTGGATATAAGTAGCTTATCTTTATCAGTCTTGTTATCCATGGCTTCCTTGCCTTTCTCCCATAAGTGAATTCCAGTGTTGTGTCTTCATTCTCAGGCTATGCTGTACTGTATACATTTTCTTCTGAAAAGACAGTGCCTTGGCTTAAGAGCTGAATCTGGAGCTCCAGATGGGATGCAGCCATAGCAAAGTGCATTAGGCTGCTTAATTTTCTGGATTTACATGCAGCATATGCTTGTGTTGTACAAGATTACAGCTAGTGATTAATTATCTGTGTCTTATTGTCTCCATAGTAAGCTCCTTGTTACTCAAGCTTTCAGAAACTCTTTCTCATAAGCTCCTCTAATGCTGAAATGGCCCATTTAATGAGGGTTCATGTGGATTAAAAAAAAACTATAGGACCTTATTTCCTTCCTTGTAGATTTTCCATTATCTTAGCTCCCTCCTCTAATTGATCAGTGCTTTTCAAGCTGTATTTATGACACAACACTATCATCTTTGTGCCATCTACAGACATGATAACAAGTACCAACTTTTACGCATGTTCTTATATTATGTTGTGTATTTATTTTTCCAAGAAATGATTGTATATATCAGGAAGTAGAAACAGACAACAAATAATCCCAGTCACATAGATAATAGGTAGAGAGAAGCAGAACCCAAACCCTTGACTCCTCTGATAAGTGCTTTTTTTTAGACAATGAGCAATATTATTATTTTAATTTCAACAGTCTAAGCATCATGCTAGCTCCTGACATGTCAAGATAATACCAAGAAAGAACAGACTTTCCATCAACACTACCAAAAACCTCTGCTACTCTGTCACTCACTCATTACTCAGAGAACTTTGAACTAAGTTGCTCAACCCATGATTGCAGTTGTTAAAAAAAAATCCTTATTTGTCTAAGTCCATCTAAATCTATTAAAATTATGCTGGTAAAAAACAGATACATTTTATCTCTGACATAGTAATTACCACACCCTTCTCAAGGGTATGAATATATTTAGCAAATTATGAATAGGTTCATTAACAAGTGTTTGGCAGAACAAAAATGTAAAAATCTTTCTACATTGTACAGGGAATGCCCAATTCTTAGTTTCAGCCACCACTACAAGCCAATTTTGTGATTCTAGAGCTAGGTGCAAATGATTATCCTAGTAATGTGCTCTGTTTTTTTCTCATGATAGATACTCAGACTGCCAAAGTCTTCCAAAATTGACTAATACTTATAAAATGACACTAAGTGCATAGGAGAGCAATTTTAAATAGAAAGTGTGTGTTTTAATCATTTCTTAAGCTGGTTTCTTTTTCCACCCATGTGGAATGTTCAAGGCAACATGAAAAATTATGGAGAGGAGCAGAATTATGACACAGAGTCTGGGAGAACAAATGATACCTCAAAGGCTTTGTCATCCAGGAAAACAAAGCCATGGCGTTTGATTGCATGGGTTTGCTAGTGACTCAGTCCCAGGGATCTTGGCTCATTGCTACTTCCCTGGTTCCCACATTAGGCTCTTCTGTGCACCATGTTTCCCCTATGAAATCAGCCACAGCTCTGCGGGTAGAAGGGAGAATCTGAACAGAATAAGATGTGAACCCGTAACTTTGTCATCCTGAGTTTTAAGTGTTCGAATTTCGTTGCTGTGCCCTTCCTTGCCCTGCATAAAGGATGGCTGCTGGAAATAGAAGCCCAGACTTACAAAGGCCTCTTGCTGTCAGGGACCCAGCAAGTGCAAATGGTTTATATGGGGGTATTCTAACAAAGGAGAGGGTAGATATTACCTAGGGAAAAGTGATATTGCTATCCCAACTGACAGGTTAGGCTTGAGTCCTGTGTTCCTGGACCCAAACTTGAAGTATGTAAAAACTCTCAGCACTCTGGTTAAGTTTAACAGTGGGTTTTTTTTTTTTTGAGGAACATGCAAAACGTGTCTTCTAAGTAATGCTGCAATTGGCAGAGTTCCCTCAAACTAATGCTCCCTGGGAACCTGATTTTGCTGACTGCTCTAGTAATGTCTAAGATGGTTGGAGCGCTGTCAGGATTTCCGTCAGCGACTCCTGTAGCTGATACTGGTCATGATTTATTTCTGCTAGGTATTATTCTGTAGAAATGCCCCTGTCAGATGAAACAAAACTTATCAGGAGTAGGAAGC